GGTGGTGGGGGCTTTGTCCTGGCTGGCAGGTGGCAGGGGGCTACCTCTTCTGTGTCCTTGGGTGCCCTTTCCCTGTGTTTACACAGCCCTACAGTCTCTTCTTCTAAGGGATAAGAGCCCTACTGGATTAGGAGCCACCCCTGTGACCTCACTTAACCTTAATCACTCCCTTAAGTCCCTGTCTCCAAATACAGTTATGTTGGGGATTGCAGCTTCAACACATGGGCTTTTAGGGGAACACAGTTCAGTTCATAAAGCCAACTCTGTGGCTGCCACTGTTGTTGGGGACACATTTGGGAACAAAACAGACTACACCCTTCACGGGGCTTGTATTTTAGAAGGAAGTGACAAATAATAATTCAAACAGGTAAATATACTACATAGGTTAGGAGGTGATGAGCGTTGTGGACAAAAATAAGAACAGGTAAGGGGCTGTGGGGGCCAGCCCAGGCCTTGCAGTGGGTGCTAATTTTAGATAGATCTTGCCCTCTTGAGTAGTTGACATTTAAACAAGACCTTGCAGGATATTAGAGAATTAGAAACACAGATGTCTGCCCTATGAAGTCTATTGTTTATTCAACTGAGAACCATGGGCGTGACCGAGAAGCTATGGAAGACATGACTTAGAGTCGGATAACCTTGGCTCAAGTTTTCCCTTTGTGCAAATTAGCCTCTGCAGTAAATTACCTAACCAACAACGTGGGTTAAATGAATGATAGAAATCAGCGCGATGCATCCCCATTCCAGATGAAAATGAGAAAATAAATTGCTTCAGTGCTGCATTTGAACTCCTTTGGGGATCACTGTCTGATTATAAACCTTGAGTTTGGCTCATCCTTCTCCCTGTCTCAAAGGTATTTTCTTGTTCCCTTGGTCTCCTTACACTGTCAGTGGACCAGCCATTGTATGGTGTGGAAGATCCATAGCAACCATATTAATGGTGTTGCGAAATATGCCAATCAGCAGCCTTTCAAATGGCTTTGCAGCTGAGTCTGGGGATTCATTTCTGCTGTGGGTGAGGCAGAGCTGTTGGTGCAACTTGGCAGCTCTGCACTCCTGTGGAATATCAAGTCACAAGCATTTATGGAGCACACCTGTGTGCTTTACTCAGCAGCCAAGAGCATCATTCTGTCAACTCTTGACTACCCATGTTAACAGGAAATAAAAATATCCATGATTAACATGGAAGATAATCTGTACACTCTCATCCCAGGAAGGGGAAAGCAGCAAATGGAAAATGGGAGCAGTGATTGTGCATGTGAGTAGTGGGGGAGAACAAGGAAGCCTAGTGGAAGGTCAGGCAGATTCAGCGGTAGTGGCTACGTAAAGGCATGAGGAGAAGAGAAATCCAGATCACCCATGAGCAGTTACCTTAACTGCAGAGTGGGTACAAGAGGAGGCCTTCCTTTTTTTGGGTTTTTAAATAAAAAACATAAAAAGGCAGAATATAATTTCTTAGAATCCCTTTTTATATGAATGAAGCACCTCTTCTATGTCAGACCTTCATTGAGCTCTTGGAGGGATAGCAGCAAATGATCCAATCCCTGCTGTCCCAGGAGGCTGGGGGCAGCAAGGTGTGGAAGTAAAGTAACACAGACCAACAGGGCATCCAGCCCAGAGCAGAAGGTGAGGGCAACAGGCTGGGAAGGTTTCTGTGAGCTTCCAGAGCCCAATTACCTCTTATTGGAGGCACTGTAGCTCTCTGTGCCTTCATAGCATCATTCAACAAATGTTCATTAAGCCATCTGATGTTAGACATTGGTGCTGAACTCTAGGATGAGCAGGAGCCATTTCAACTTTCAAGGCTTCCTGCTAGAGTGAAACGGACTTAACCACGCCGAAGATGTGATGTGAGGAAGTGGTGAAGAGGACGCCTTAGCAGCTCAAGACTCACCACTCTGCGGGGAGGGTGTGAGGCATGGCGTTTAGGATGAAGACAGGTGGGTAGTTTGTGGCAATGAGAGGCCACCGCAGACAGATGGAGTGCCTTGAATAAAGGTGAGGGGCAGACAGGTTGGTCTGGAGACCTACAAGCAGTTCCATTTGGCCACAGCTGAGTGTGAGAGGAGGGGAGGAGCGTTAAGATGGAGACCAGAGGGGCTGGTGTTGTGGCACAGTTGCTTTGCCAGCATCCAGTATTGGATGCTTGTTTGAGTCCTGGCTGCCCTATTTCAGATTCTGCTCCCTGCTAATGCACCTAGAAAATCAGCAGAAGATGGTCCAAATGCCTGGGCCCCTGCCACCCATGTGGGAGACCTAGATGGAGCTCCAGGGTTCTGGCACTGACCTGGCCCAGCCTTGGTTGTTGGGACCATTTGGTGAGTTAACCAGTGGATGGAAGATCTCTCTGGCTGTCTCTCTCTCTCTTTCTCTCTGTCACTCTGCCTTTCAAATAAATAAATCATCTTTAATAAAAAAAAGATGGAGACCAGAAACAAAGCCAGCAAGGTTCTGTGTGCCCTGGGAAGGTATTTGGGTTCATTCCATGAACATCTGGGTATACCTGGGGGGATTACTGGGATAAACACTCAGGGATTAAAGTGGGCAACGCGTTCTGTGAAAAGTTTAGACTTTGAGTCATTCTGGCTTCTTTGGATGGTGGACATGAGTGGGAAGGGCATGAGGGCAGCAGGGAAATTTGGCTTAGTGGGGGCGCAGAACAAAGGTCCAACTGAGGACTGTGTAAGTGAGGAAGAGAGAAATGCGAAGTGCTAAAGAATTTGCAGGACGTGGTGATTGGCTGTGTGACACTGGTGTTTCAGAGGAAAGGGGCAGTGTGGTTCCGTGTCTTTCAGTGTGGGCAGTTTAGTCAGTCAGCCAAGATGTGCAGAAGTAGGGGTGGGGCTATTCAGCAAAGTGAAGTCTTCACCCTGAGACCTCCTACAAGGAGTCTCTACAGTCCTGGGAAACCGCCATGCTTGGGGGCCAGCATTGGGGCACAGTGGGTAAGATGCCGCCTGCGATTGTGGCATCCCATATGGGCGCTGTTTCCAGCCCTGGCTGCCCCACTTCCGATCTGGCTCCCTGCTAGTTTGCCTGGGAAGGCAGCAGAAGGTGGCCCCAAGTGCTTGGGCCTCTACACTTGCTTGGGAGATCTGGATGAACTCCTTAGCTTCCGCCTGACCCAGCCCTGGCTGTTGTGGCCATTTGGGGAGTGAACCAGTGGATGGAAGAGTCCCCCCAACCTCACCATAATTCTGACTTTGAATTAAATAAATAAATAAATCTTTAAAGAAAAGAAGCCATGCTTGGGTTTCAAAACATTTTTGTGCCAAAAAAAGTGTCTTTTAAATCTCTACCTATCTAACATCTGTCCATCCATCCATCTGAAGGGCAGAGAGACAGAAACAGAAAGGGGGAGGGTCATGTGGGAGGAGCACCTCCCACGTGGGTGACAAGGGTCCTGACTACTTGAGCCAGTCACTGGCTGCCAGAAGTCAGAAGTGGAGCCAACACTGGAATCCAGTACTATGATATGAGATGCCAGTGTCCCAACAGCTATTATAACCATTGCAGCAAATACCTGCCCCTAGACATCTTTCAATTCCATTTTCCACAAACATTTTGAAGTAGCCTTGCATGCATAGTGGAAAGTGCTTAATTATAGCATAACATTTTAAATGCAACTCATTTCTTCATTATTTTAATTTGTGTCATTACAGTTTTGCAGCATTTGATAAAGTAATGCTTTAGCCTAAATTAACTTGTTATATCAAAAGCAAAGAGGAATATAAACCTTTAGGGAGTTACTGAAAAATGGCAACCCTTATAGCACTTTGTATAGAAACCGATTTAGATTGCCCATGATGCAACTTTGACATTCTCTTTCCAAAAATCTAGCTGTGGTGTCATGGGAGCAGAAGGTCAGGGAAGAGTCTTATGTTAAAAAAAAAAAAATAAGTACCTGTTCTCCTTTGAAAAAATGCAACTAATGTCACTGTTCGTAGTGGCTTTTTGGATTATTTATTCATTCTAAAATGGAGGGCTACCTTTTATTTCATGAACTTAATAAAATTCATGGAAAAATGGAGTTCAAAGATAAGCTGGTTTTGCTGCAAAAGATTTTGAAATACATGCATGGTTGTTTCCTAACATGCATTTCTGTGAACTTTTTTGAACATCCTCGTGTTATAGTTGTTCAAAGACTGAGGGTTGGAGATGGAGTTTCCGTGGACTGGCTCTAAAGAGAAAGTTTTATGATAGTGTTTCATCCAGAGTGCTCAGTTGACAAAGTAATTGCTATTCCAGGCCCTGTGGGCCAGAAGAGTTTTTGTTCTCAATCTGTGGTTTAAATGCATAACAAAAGCAAGGGCTCTTTAATGGCTCTTGCTTTGAAATTAGAATGTGATTACTTCACAAACACCACGGATGGTTTCCTGGCCTTAAAACTATTTTTAAACTGCCATTCTTTTGTAATGGTCTCTCTAACCCCATGCTGTGGAGAAGAAAAGCCTTGGAGAATTTGCTTTGGTGGAGAGGGAGGCAGGGGCCTGAGGAGAATTACAGGGCGAGTTATTTTTTGACCTGGTGGTCATTAGTTCTTTTTGTCCCTTCTGAAAGTGCCACACCGGGGCATTCCCAGCACACTTTTAGCCTTAATGGACAAACCAGCAGCATAAGGTCACCAAAACTCACTCTGGGTGTGCTTGCGTGAGTTTTGGGAAAGAGCTGTGATCACCATGAGTGTGAGCACACACACACACACACACACACACACACGAGGGCACTGCAGAAAGTCATGGGAAATGTGAATTATGAAAAAAAAAAATGCCTGGCTTTCAAAATTTCCCATACCAACCCAAACTTAGCTTCTCATTTTTTTTTCCATGCAGTATTGCAAGTGCGCCCGTGTACATTTCACGATACAGCTTAGGAATACAAACTATTTCTGACACACAGTGAGGTCTGAAATCTTTGTGATCTGTGAGAATGACAGACGTGACAGACGTGGCCACATCTCAGGAGCCCGCCCCCAGCAAAGGTCAAGGAAGAGGCCTCACCCTGCCGTACATGCTCTGGTAGGCCTCTGCAATCATCAGCCTCTGGGCATTGCAGCGCTGAGTCAGGATGTCAATCAGCAGGTCTTTGTCACACTCTGGGGAGGAACAGTATTTGCAGATTAGTCAGGTTTGGGAAGAACCCATTATCTCAGGATCCAAACCAATATGCCAGCATTACTAGCCCTGAAGGCGCATTCAAGCCAAGAAGAATTTTCTCGCAGACGAGAAATTGCACAGCAACCCCACATGAAACCCAGATTCTTCCTAGCTCTCATTTTAGTGCTGTTACTACAGCGGCAGCTCCCACCCCTGAAAAAGACCTCACAACAAACACTAGGAGTAAAGGAAATACTGGCTTTCTCCCACCACCTCTCATGCCTCTGCCACCTGGCTCTCCAGCCCTCATGCTGATGCGGGTTTCAGTGGCCAGCGCATAGAGACACGACTTGCAGCTGACATGCATCAAGACAAAGCTTTCTGCTCATGTGCAGAACCTCCAGAGGAGGCAGATGTCGTGGAGAAAGAGATTGTTCCGTTTCAAGGCAACTGTATGTCTCTGAGGGGTCGTGTGAACCCATCACCCTTGCATTAAATTCTGTAGAGACCAAAGATCCCTGAAATGTAAAAGGTTTGTCTGAGCTATGACAGATGCTATCCAAAATAAAAGGATTGGTCTTGGGAAAAGCTACCCAAGCCACCACCAGCATGGTGGCTACCACGTACACTGACTAAAGTGTCAGGGTATTTTAGAAAACAAATTTTGGAAGGAGAAAACATGAAACACTTGCTGGGAACCAGCAGTAGCTAGAGCCAAGGGGATGGGACAATGCACAGTGGGCCGAGGCCTGAGCTAGGAGCACGCATAAAGAAAAATGCTGGCTGCTTCCAGCTTGGTCAGTTCTGCACGCAGGTGGTGCTGTCGCCTGATGGTTAATCTTCCACATACAGGCAAATCCTCTTTTTGTCTTGTCTTGTTGGTTTAGCCCCAACCTGTCAGTTGGATATAACTCCTCCTATCTCTTATGCTTATTTAACTCCTTCTGTTTGCAAGAAGAGATGTTAACCATGAACCATGAGGCTGTATGTGAAGCAAACCATCATTTCAAAATTGAAGCCATCCTGGATGGTGTTAGGGTCTTAGGAAGACTATGGGTCAGGTACTGGACTATAGAACGAATGAGGGCAGGTGACTCGGGTTTACAGAGGTGCAGGGTGCCAAGGAGAAGTCAGGTAGGAAGGCGTCACGTGGAGGTGCCAAGGAGAAGCAGGAGGCAGAGCTGGGTGTTTCATGCAGGCGGGAGAAATGATCTGAGAGTTGTAATAGGGAAGCAGGAAGATCTAGAATTAGCCCCAAAGACTGAAATTAGTGGCTTCTGAGAGAAGAGGCGTCGAGCCACGCGGTTTGGGGCTAGCCCAGTTTTGACTCTGGACTCACAAGAAAACAAGTGGCTGTGGAGGAGTCTTTTATCAGCATGAGGGGAACTCCAAAATGAAGGTATTTCTCACATTAGAATATTTTTCGATGACTTCCATTGCCTTGTGATTTTGCTACCATCACAGTGATGCAATTACTATAGAATTCTCTTTTTTTGTTCTTTGCCTATTGAGATCCTCTACAGACTATCTCTCTGAGTTATTTTTCACTTTTGAAAGGTTTCATAGCAATTCTTCTTCATTTTTCCTTCCAGAGCATCTCAGAATAATTTTATGTTTATCTAAACTTTTATTAAAATTTAAAGTAACTGTAAACTTTAAGAGTCAATTTTGAGAGTTGTCTTTGTGTCATCAATGGTATATTTGCCAACTGATTGAAATTATTTTCTAAAAAACTTAGTAAAAATTTGTAGATTTTACAAAGGGCAATAAGTATTACTTGACTAAAATTATTCTTGCTTATATTTCTGCAGGTATTTGAAGTTGTAGTATTTTTATTTTATTTCTCAACACATAATTGGTTAACTGAAGAAGTGATATTGAATTTATATTCACTTTATATCCAGAACAACTATTGAATTCTTTATAATTTTTAATAACTAATTATTTGGTTACCTTGGATTTCTAGTTAAATAAGCATTCTTTAAAAAGTTCATGGAGAATGGGACTTATGAAAAAACTTTGCATGGATTTCATTATTTTTTGCAAAAAAGCAAACATCTGATTTCATTTTTAATGAACTTTTTGAAGTATCCTTCCAGAATATTTTCTTCAAATAATACCAGCTTTGATTTTTTCTTTAGAATTTTTGTATATTTCCCTCTTTCTTTTCCCATTGTATTAGGACAGGGATACCTAGATAATTCTTATTTTCTGGTTTTAATGGAAACTTGGGGCATAATGAATCATAGCAGTTTGGTAGGCTTTCAAGTTGTGTAGTCAACTCTTGTTACTCCTGGTATTTATTCTCTACAAAGTTGCCATGAATATTGAATTACTGAAAGCTGCAGTTCTCTGGTTGGGTTTTTTTTTGTTTTGTTTTTTTTGTTTTTTGTTTTTTTTTTTTTTTGGTCAAAACTGAAGTGCTGGATTGGCATTGTGATGCAGCAGGTTAAGCCACTGCCTGTGACAGACACCCGCATCTCTTACCTGAGTGCTGCTTCCAGTCCTGGCTGCTCTGCTTCAGGTCCAGCTCCCTGCTAATGCACCTGGGAAAGCAGCTCTAGAAGGTGGCCCAAGTCCCTGGGCCCCTTCCTTCCCACCCTGGTGACCCAGATAGATTCCAGGCTCCTGGCTTTGGTCTGCATCAGGCCTGACTGTTGTGTCCACTTGAGAAGTGAATCAGTGGATGGAATCATTCTTTCTCTCTCTCTCACTCTCGTGCTCTCTTCCCCATCCCTGTCATTCTGCCTTTCAGTTTGATAAATATTTAAGAAAAACCCGAGTATAATTCGTATTATAGATTTGTTTGCCAATGTCCTTGGGAAGTAACCCTAACTCTAACGCTAACCCTAAACCTATTTAGGTTGGGGTTAGGGTTTCAGCATTGAAAACCTATTCTTCTATATATTCTTTTCCTGTAGCGCCGAGGAGGGTTTTAAACATTGCTCTGCTCCCCGTGATCTGCAGTTGTCTCCTCTGTCAGCCAGCACTACTCTCAGGAGAGAGCTGGCCACTCTGCTGCTCTCTCAACTTTCTGTTGTTATCAGCTATCACCTGATGAACCGCACAGCTGCTGTTTTCATCCTTGGCATCGCTTCACCCCATAGAGTGGATGTGGCTTGAACATTTTCCAGGCAGCCCCCTGCACACATCAATGGATGCTCTGTTCTTTCTGATGTGCTGTATTATTAATTTATTAACATAAATCTCCTGGCCAGCAACACTGCAGCCCGTGCTTATCTAGCACACATATTTTCTCCAAAAACTTCATTTTGCATTTGTGTACTTTTTGTGTGTGTGTGCATAGGAAACCAATCAGTATTTTACCATTATTCTTGGGGCCATTTTTACTTTTTTAGAAGTCTGAGGCTTCTGGTTTTGAAAAACACTTTATTATTTGAAAGGCAGAGTTATGGAGCCAGGGGAGAGGGAGAGACAGAGAGAGAAAGAGAGAGAGAGAGAATCTTCCATTTGCTGGTTCATTCCAAATGGCTACAGCATTTTCTCCCCCGCCCCCCTTTTTTTTTGCTTGGGGGCATTTTAAATAGTAAAATCCCCAACAAACACCATCAAAATTGCAAAAACAATGGCACTTATAATAGACAACAAAAAGAACATATATTTAATGTTTGAGTACTAAAAGAAGAAGGCGTTTTGTGAAATTCTATGATCTCTATTAGGATTATACATCCTAGTGATTCTGATTTTTTTCTTTCTGCACATGTCTGCAAAACACCATAAAAGCACTACAAGTATTGATTTTGGGGCTATAAACGATTTTAGCAAATAGACATATTTGTAAATACAGAATCCATGAATAATGAGGATTGGCGGTATGGTAAGATAGTTAAAAGTTGTCTACCAGGGAAGAAACTAATCTTGAATAAAATTTCCAATATTTTTAAACAGCACTGGGTGGTTCGTGGTCACTTAATTTTAAATGTAAATTTATTTTTTTTTTATTTTTTGACAGGCAGAGTGGACAGTGAGAGAGAGAGAGAGAAAGTTCTTCCTTTTTCCTTTGGTTCACCACCCCCAATGGCTGCTGTGGCCGGCGCGCTTCGGCCGGCGCACCACACTGACCCGAAGCCAGGAGCCAGGAGCCTGGTCTCCCATGCGGGTGCAGGGCCCAAGGACGTGGGCCATCCTCCACTACACTTCCAGGCCACAGCAGAGAGCTGGCCTGGAAGAGGGGCAACCGGGACAGAATCCGGCACCCTGACCGGGACTATAACCCCAGGTGCCAGCGCCGCAGGCGGAGGATTAGCCTAGTGAGCCACGGTGCAGGCCTATCCAATTTCTAAGGAAGAAATATCACTCTGTACAATCTTTTCCAGAAAACTGAAGCAGGGAGAGTACTTCTATCTTATTCTTCAGACCAAATACTGAAACTCTAACACCAGAACCAGATAAAGCAATTACAAGAAAACTATTAATAGTATCTCTTATGTGTAATTTTTATGACGTAAAAATTCTCAAAAATATTAGTAAATTGAATATAACAACGTGTATGAAAACTACGCTTCTTGACCAAGTGGGATTTATTCCACATGGTTCAATATTTGAAAATCAGTTCATGTAATCCATCACTATAATAGGTTGAAGATGGGGGTCGGCACTGCAGCGTGGTGAGTTAAAGCCCTGGCCTGAAGCACTGGCATCCCATATGGGCGCTGGTTTGTGTCCCGGCTGCTCCTCTTCCAGTCCAGCTCTCTGCTGTGGCCTGGGAAAGCAGTGGAAGATGGCCCAGGTGCTTGGGCCCCTACACCCGCATGGGAGACCTGGAAGAAGTTCCTGGCTCCTGGCTTCGGATCAGCATAGCTCTGGCCATTGCGGCCATCTGGGGAGTGAACCAGCAGTTGGAAGACCTCTCTCTCTCTCTCTGTCTCTACCTCTCTATGTAACTTTGTCTTTCAAATAAATAAAATAAATGTTAAAAAAAAAATAGGTTGAAGATGAAACATCATATGAGTACTCCCTAAAGTGCAGAAAAAACATT